TACTAAATAAAAATGTAAATTAACACTTTCTTCCTTTGAGGAAACTTGTGTTTATTGGTATATGTATACATAGTATGTATTGTTTGAAGTTGAATGTATGGATGTACATGAATGCCTTAAGGTTTAGGTTATGAACATTTTGTAATACATAAATACATTTTCATTTAAGCATTTATTGTATATAAATATACATATATTACAACGCAGTTAGAAAAGACTCATACATTTATATATGTAATTACAAATCTATATTAAATATAAATATATACATATGTATACGAGTATAGATCTAAATAATGGAAAATATAATATAGGGATTCTAGAACCTAGGAGACATTTACAATTCATTTCATGAAATAGAAAAGCAATTCATTTCATTTTCTCGAATTTCACTTTTCCAGAAAGTTTGTTAATTACAAGCAGAAAGTATAGAAGTCAAATATTTAATTTCGAGAATGTAGACCTTAATTTTATTTTTTTTAAATTTTATAAAAATAATTAAAACGAATTGAAATTTTCTTAGAAATTGAGTTACGATAATTATTTAAAATCCAGCTCAATCATACTTCAATTCGAAGTAATCATTTTAGGTGCGACATTTTGACATTTTTATGCTTCAATAGATTAAAAGGGCTAATTTTTGTTTCAAAGATACCAACACCGGAAAATACGTTACCGAAAACTAAATTTTTGCCCCATCTCTAAAATAAATAAACGTGATTTTATCTTTTGATGGTAGCGATAATAATGAAACAATTTTAAGGTACCCAATGCCCTTCACCAATAAGCAGTTATGCACTTCTAATTAATTTGATTGAATATCACGTTATGATTTTTTACTTAAAATTTTATGTGAAAAAGTTCGAATTTTTTATTAGATTTTGAAATTTTTTTAATTTTTGTATTTGATGTATAACATTAGAAAGTACATCAATTAGCTTGGCAACATTTTAAGTTTTGTTCATAATTTATAGTCTCATTTTGCATCTCATTTTTTCACACACTGGCAAATCAGAATGCTCTTGTTAAAATTACACAATCCAAAATGAGCGGTATCAAAGCTCCCTTTTTCAACTGGTCAGAATAAAACAGAATAGCTTAATTGTGTTTGAATTTTGTATATCTTTAGAAAAAAAGCAACTTTCTTCTCACCGGGTAATTAAATTATGTGATATACAGAATGAGGGCTCAATTTTATTAATTTTTGAAACTACTTGTAACACATAACTGTCTGTAATGATAATTAAATATACCTACATATCCATTTTCATACTTAAGCTTGTTTAAAACATTGTTTTAAACAAGCAAAATTATTAATACTAAATACAAAAGAAAATAATTTGAAAATGGTCAAGTTTTCATTGTTAGTTTTTTACTAGAAAATCCTCACATACAATGTTTAATTTCATTCTCCTTGTTTTTTATATAGGATATTTATATTTATTTAGGGTTTTCTAGCTAATTAAAAAAGATAAAAATTCTAAAGAGAGAGAAACAAGACAGATAAAGGTAATGAATATATTAAGGTAAACCAAACAACTACCTACTTGTATTATTGTTACACAGTCTTTTACTATGAGAACCCAACAAACAAAAAGGTAAAAACAAGCAAAAAGATTTAATCGGGTCAACAATATGGTGCTGAAACTAACATTTCCCAAGAGTTAGAATTAAACTAAGAATAGTACCTTCTGACAGTTTCTTAGAAAGATGATCTTATTACTACACTTTTGAATTGTCCAGTTCCAATTGTTCAGATTATATAGAAACTACTCGTACCGCTGGTTAACATTAATAGGGTTTGTGCCTAACTGCTTTAAGCGATTTATGAATATTTGATTCCATTTTTATTTAAAACTGTTTTAAAATTGTCGCTGAGAGAGACGGACAGAAGGCTAAATCGAATTTCAATTTGACACTGATAACAAAAATGTTGACACTTTTATCTTAAAATTTATTAATACAAAGTAATCTATTTATTATCTGTAGAAACTGCTAAAATTTCAGACTCCTACAATTTACCATTTAAAAATAAACTGTATTACATACATAGGTATTTGAATAATTTTAGACACTAGTAACCGATTGATTTCAACCAAACTTTTATGTATATAAAAATTTCAGGTTTGGATGTAGAAATTTTGGAAAAAAACCGGAGCAACAGGAGACAGAATTAAACTAATAAGCTCAAGTTTGTGAAAAAATAATTAAAAGTACAAAATTATTCAATAATTTTGTACCCAAGTAGCAAAGTTCTTAAAAATTACTTTCTTAGAGTAAGTCGATCAAGCCCTCAGTATCTTATCAATGATAATCTAACTTACATATTATAATGTGTTGAACTTATATATGCTTATATGTTTTTAATGAAAAATACGTATAATTTTTAATTTAAAAAGATATAACATGATTTTTGCTTTCAAACAAACATAGCATCTAACTAAACCAACCATAGCATTATATTAACAAAGTTCAATAGCTTTTTACTCTACATAATTATCCTCACAAAAAATCAACACGTGCTTAAAAAAATACTTTTGTACATACCCATGTACTTGTAAATTTAAATAATTTACTTTCAATTTCAAAATGTATTTCATTTGGAATTTCAAGAATCCGTAGTTACTTTTACACCTAAAAGAATTTTTTAGTTTTCTCAGTTTAATAGGTATGTATGTGCATCCATTTCTGAATCCATGTCCTACCTACACGGTTATTTTGATAAAAAGGTTCATAATAATTATGTATAAGTATATGTTGTTCATTTTAAATTTGTACATTATATGCATACACAACTACCCGTACTTTAACTTATGTGATAAACGTAAATACATAATTATGTATATGTTTGTCTCGACTCTTGTTATCTTTAAAAATTTTTACTTTTTTGGGACAGTTTCATTATTCTTATGAATACAAACGCGTATAACTGAATTAGATACGCGTATGTATATACTTATATTCAAAAATATCTACATACATTCTATTTAGCCGCATAAAATATTTGTACATAGATGAAATAAATAATATCAATGAATTTGTTTCAAATGTTTGTTAGCCAGTTGCGTTGAAGCTGAGAAAAACAAAAATCTTGATTTTTATTTATCTGTGTTTTTACTTATATGTAGGTATATTCTTTCTAAAGAATTTCGATTTTTTAAAATTTTTATGTGGGCGCCAATTATATTATGGTCTGACTTATAATTTCTTTAGATAAGTTTGTAGTGCAATAACCTTCTTTTGAATGAAATTATGTATTTTACTTTAATAATAGTTATAACTATTTACATCTTAAATAGGTGAATAATATAGATCTACATAAATCCACGTTAATATCAAGTACATACCTACATACATGTGTATATTCCAATTTATCTTACATTATTTCAATTTAATTGGCATTTAAGAAGCAGTACAAATTATTTATATTCAAAACGAGATTTTATAGCCCTTACAAAAATTAGCCCATAAGTAGTTTGATATCAAAAATTGAGAATTTTATGATATGTACCTGAACTAGGTGTACCCGCATTGCTATAAGGTAAAACGCATCCATGGTGATATATTACGGGCATCAAGATTCTGGAACTTAACTAAAGGATTACAAAATCATAAGCATGCGGATGAAAGTATGTACATATGTACATATATGCAAATGTACATGTTCTCCTTAAATTAGGTTGATAACCACATTTGATTTTAAATATTTTAAACTCGGTCTGCGGAAGTGTTTCAAATATCATCAAAATTTGTGTGAATATTCATAAACCTATTCTATGTATAAAAGAAACAAAATTCGAATTTATTTTCCAGAATTATTGTTTCAAGTTCTTATTTATTATAAAATTAGGTTGTGCGCTAGGAAGTCTTCAAATATGTGATGAGTTCTCGTTATAATAAGTAAGCTTCCAAGTAAATTGAGAAATGTAATAAAAAAAGTACATACATACCTAGATAATATTCATTTCCATTTCTGATCTACAAAAATTTTAATGTTGAAAAATTTAATAGACTTTTTGACTTTACTTTCATTAAACAGATCCCTACTCCATAACGCTAATATTCATCCTATATAAGGTTGTAAATAAGATAAGCTTTTAAATTTTACCAAGCACAATTTTTTTTTTAATTTATTGTTTTCAATTTTATTACATATTAAATACACACTACCTAATTGTTATATTTTATTAATACTTACGTAAAAACAAAAATTATTATTAAACGCCTATGCATATTAAAATTTTCTATCAATAGAAAATAATTTTAAAAGTTGCATTTTATATCCACAATTTTAGATTTTCAATTGGAAAAAAAAAACTATGTTGCTTTTAGATTTTATAAATATTAAAATTAATAAGCCAACTTGAATTTAAAATGTACTACGATATATTATGATAAATTTTCTACCTAAAAATTTAAAAAGTTTTTTGATCTTGGTTATTTAATGAAAAATTCACCATTTCTTTTTTGTTTAAATTTTCATTCACAATGTTTATAAAATTGCATCAACTTGAATGGCGCGTCATAATTCGTAATTTGTATTAACCTGCTTCTTAATTAATTAGCAACATTAACTTGAAATAAAATATTTTCCTTTCGTAAAAGAGTCAACTTATAATGATATCAAATTGAAGACGCAAAAATTTTTATGTTTAAATAATTCCAAACATAGTTTACCTGCAATGGGAAACGTCATTTAAAAAGTATTCAAATAAAAATGTAATTCTTTAAGTTTACTTTAAATTAAATGTACAATTTTTTTATGAAATTGTTAAAGGGGAATTTTTTAAACAAAGGAAAATTATTTAGAAAAAGTGAAATAATTACGTCTCTGTAAAAGCATATGGATTATGGAGTATGTACACTGTACTTACTACTTTAAGTGTTTTACTACTGCCATTAAATATATCTACTACCACTCTTTTCATTCAAATGTCAATATTGGAAATGTCAAAGACGTAGCTATACTTCTTTAAAAATCATCTATCGTACAAGTCACAAGAAGTCTGTCAAAGAAATTGGCACTAGTTTTTTTATAGGTTTTCTTTTTTTTTTAATTTAAGTAAAATGATTAGAATAAATTCAAAAATCTATTTAATATTTTTAATTAAATTAATATCTTATTCAAATTTCGTGGTGTGTGATGAAATTCTGGGCTGTGGAGGATTTATTAAAAGCCATGCCGACATAGATTTTTCAAAAGTTGAAATAAAATTGTAAGTAAAAGAATGGCAAAAAAAAATGTAACGCAAAATTTTGCAATACGTGTCTATAACAAAACTCTCAAAATTTTCTATTTAAATTTACATATGTAAATCAGTAAAAAAATTTATTTAATTTATTTAATTTATTTAATTTTTAGGTTAACAAAACAAGGCAGCTTAAAAGACAAGACTGATTGTTCTCCATCAAATGGGTATTATTTTCTTCCAGTTTACGACAAGGGAGAATACTTGTTAGAAATTTCCCCGCCACCTGGCTGGAGCTTTGAACCGGAGCGAGTTGTTCTAAACTTTGATGGGAAAAACGATATATGCAGCCAAGGTATTACAACTACCGTTATTATATTCAACAGCTTCTAATTGTTTTTGTTTTAGGAAAAGACGTTAATTTTGTGTTTAAAGGCTTTGGAATTACAGGAAAAGTAGCAATTTATGGACAATCAATCGGAGGCGCAAGGGATGTAAATGTTGAACTTCGATCGGAAGATGGAAGTGATGTTCGAAAAACAAAAACTGACCTTAATGGTGTATTTTCATTTACACCCATAATCCCCGGAAAATATATCGTTAAGGCTTCCCATAATTCGTGGTACTTTTCAAAATCTGAACATACAGTAGTTGTAAAAAGCGGAAACACAGAGCTACCCGAAAACTCTTTGATAGTCAGTGGATTCAATGTTCAAGGCCGTTTTGATAATATAGGTCAAGCGAGCAAAAATATTAAAATGGTTTTAACTGAACAAAAGACCGGAAAAGTGAGTAAATTGCAACAAATTTTGCAAAGAAAACTTAATATTTCTTTTTTTATGTAGCAAATTGATAGAGTTGAGATAGAAAAAAACGGTGAATATGCTTTCAAAAATGTTAAACCGGGGTCATATAAAGTCGTGCCATTTGTGACCGATAAACAGTTAACAATAACATTTGCTCCGGAAAACTTAGAATTTAAAGTTGAAAAAGACGATTTGATTTTGAAAAAAAGTTTTGAAGTGAGTACAGGCATAAAAATGATATTATTTTTTTATAAATTAATTTTTTTATATTGATCGTAGATTTCTGGATTCCGAGTTTTCGGAAAAGTTTTATATTCTGCTAACGGTAAAGGGGTTCCTGCAGCTGCAATTAAATTGAAGGGTGAAACTATTGCTAACACTGATTCAAATGGAAATTTCGTGTTAAGCAAAATACCAGAAGGAAACTACAAATTAGAGATCCAAGCTGAAAACTTAGAATTTACTGAAAAAATATCTAAAATATCAATTGAAAACCCCAATTTAGGTGACTTTATAGTTTCTAGTTTCAAGGTCTGTGGGGAAGTCAAATCCGATAATTCCTATGCAGTTGAAATAAGTAAATCAGACTCGACTTATCGCACAACAACGGCTACAGAAAATAATAAATGGTGTGCATATTTAGCTCCAGGAAAATATTCTGTTGAAGTTATAACTTCTGAGGAAGATAAGGCAAATGGAATAAAGCAAGTTGTATTAAAAATATATCTTTGATTTATACTGACTTTAAGATTTCAGATTTTTCCCTGTGGAACACAAATTTGAAGTGAGCAATGCGCCTTTATTATCTGGTATAGTATTTTCGCAATTGAGAGCAACATTGATTGGAGAAATAAAGTGTTTAAAAGATAGTTCAGACACCTGTAGGAATATTGAAGTAACTTTGCATGCGTTGGACCCCATAGGAAAGCCTACAGGTCAAATTGCAAAAGCCATTAGCAAAGGTACATATTTTCAGTGTTCTATACCTTAATTAGTATTAAATTTTAATTGTACACTTCTAGAAGGGAAATACGAATTTCTAAAAGTTCTACCTGGACCGTATGAGGTTACTATTCCTCAAACGAATTTATGTTTTGAAAGTAATAAGGTTTTAGTTAATATAGCGTCTGCTATGGAAACTGCACCCCATTTTATTCACAAAGGCTATGAAATCTCGATTATATCTAGTCATAAAGCTACTGTAAGTAATTTATTGAATTTTTTTTACCGTATCGAAGTAATTTAATTGCAAAGTATATTAAATATTCTTGCAGTTGAAATATAAATGGAAGCCTCTGTCAGAAAAAGAAAAATCTTTTGCAGACTCCATTAAGATTATGTCTGGAGTAAACACGTTTTGCGTTCCTAGATCTGGAGAATATAGTTTCACGTTAGAAGGATGCCATACCTATCTCTCCGATATTCCGACCAGTTTTACAACAAATGACAAAAATCCAGTTGTATTAACTGCTGTAGCACATAAAATAGGGATAAGAGTGTTATCACCAGAGTCAAACATTGTTTCATTAAAACTTCAAATAGAAACGTCAACTGGAAAAGAAATTGTAACACCTATTTCAGAATCCCACAAAGTTGATGGTTACCATTCTTATCGCTACGATATGTTCTTGAAACCAGAAGAACAAATTATTATTACACCACAAAGTAATCTGATGCTGTTTAAACCCGAAATGAAGGAAATTGTGGGTGGCAATGACTGTATAGATGTGGCATTTAATTTTATTGCTGTAAAAGGTTTAATTATTGAGGGAAAAATTGATCCACCGATATCGGATGCCAAAATTACTTTAAATTTCCCGCAAAATCCTGAAATATATCCGCAAGAAACTATTTCATCTGCTAAAGGAACATTTAAGTTTAACCCAATTGATGAAACATTGGAATATGAATTGAGAGCAGAAAAAGAATCATATGTTTTTAAGGAATATAATAAACAACTAAATGTATTTAAAGCGCATAAGCTATGTGATGTTATAGTAAGTGTTAAAGATGACAGTGGAAATAAGTTGAATGGTGTTCTTTTATCATTATCTGGAGCTGAAAGCTATCGAAAGAATATGGTGACAAGTGACGACGGTACAATTAAATTTCACTCTTTGTCTCCATCTCAATATTTTTTAAGACCTATGATGAAAGAATATAAGTTCGAACCTAATTCAAAAATGATTGATATTAAGGATGGTGAAACTGTTAGAGTTGAATTGATGTATGTGAGCTGAATTATAAATAATATAAAAGTTTAATTTTTTAATAAATGCTTTCTTTTTTTCAGTGGTAAACGTGTTGCTTATTCAGTATTTGGAATTGTAACATCATTAAACGGAGAGCCGTTCCCTAATGTGCATTTAGAGGCTATATCTGATGAAAAATGTATGCACCATCAAGAAGAGTCCTCAACAGAACAAAGTGGGCAATACAGAATTCGGGGTCTTCAACCTGGTTGTACATATACAATTCGACCAAAAATTGGAGAAGCTAACAAGATTGTCGAAAGGTCTATACCCGAGAGTCGGACAGTGAAAATTGGATCTTTTGATTCTCATGATATTAATTTAATTGCGATTAGTCCAATTAACTTTGTTGATGTAACTGCCCGAATAATGGCTTCTTCTAATGATCTATATAAGTCTTTACGTATTCAATTATATCGAAAGGGAAATGCCGATAATCCAATTTATTCACAAAAAGTAGAAAGTCCTATAAACGTAAAAGCGCGATTCAATCCAGGTATTATGGTATTTTTTCCAAGAATTCCTTTGGATGGAAAAACTTACTTTGTTGAGTTAAAAACTACTTTATCAGAAAGAATTTATAAATTTACCTTACCTTCAGAACAATTTATTGCAAACAAAAGTTCTATTTACGTAGAATTAAATTTTGAACCTGAAATACGTACTACAGAAGGTGATTTAAATCAAAATTCAATTTCAGCTTTGCTTTTAGTTGGCCTTGTAGCAATTGCATTTTTCAAACAAGACTTAGCTATGGATCTTTTAAATTTTGTATGGGTACGAATAAATAATTTAGTACAAGACTTATTGCAAAAATCAAATAATAAAAAGAAGGAAACCAAAAGTACTGATAATACAATAAATTATAAAGAAATTGAACAAATTGCTGAAGGTATTAATTCGATTAAAAAGAAAAAAGTTAAAAAAATTTAAGTTTAGATTTTGCATTTAGTAAATTTTTTGTGGTTGAAGTTAATTTAATTATTGTTTAAAAATAAGTTGAAAGTAAATATTTTGTTGAGATTTTTCAATTACTAAAGTAGTCATGCAATTGTGTTTGTAAAAGTAAATTACAAAAAATAAGACATTTTAAATATTCAAGAAATAATAAATATTATATATTTATTTAAAATATTTTGGGGTATTGTTTATTATATTTCATTAAGAGTAATTACGTGTATGTGAAATAATTCTTTATTTAACCATTCTAAAATTTTTCACATCAGTGGAAATTTCAGTAATAAAAAAAAGAATTAATGTAAATCCATAATCTTAGATCCAGTAATTATTTTCTTTGGAAATAATCATTTTATTGTTTTAATAAAAAATAAAATAAATAACTTATTTTCTACTTAAATAAATATAAATATAACTTAAAAAAGTATAAACTAAACTATAAATAAGTGCTTTTCTTCTATAAATAAACACAATTCTTTTTTGAAATTTTAATTTTTAAAAATTTCCGATGACTTAGTTTTAAATGGTGAAAGTATTTGTAAATTTACATTCTCCCAAACTAGAAACGCATTATCACTTTCTATTAAGAAAGTGCAACATGATAAAAACAAAATATGCTTTTTTATCACTCAAATTGCAACATCAGCAATATAAATAAAATAAATAAATAAATAAATAAATAAAATCTAGGAGCAAGCAGCCAGGTATTTAATCACACAAAAGGCGTGAATAAAATTTAATTAGCACATTATATTTATTCATGTCTAGCAGGTATTACTCGTAGTTTTGATCTAGATCTATTGAATAACGTTTCTGCGATAATATTTTTGTTTTTCACACCTTTATTTGAAATTGAATACAATTTAACTTCCGGTTGGTTTTTCTTTACATGATCTATACTGTTTTTGGAAATATCTTTGTTTTGTTTATCGTTTTCATCACGTTTTTCATTACTACCATCTGATTCTAGTGTACTACTTTCGATTTCATTATTTTTATTTTCATTTTCATCTTCTGAATTTGACACCTCGTCATTCCTATCGGTATTATGAAGATCAAGAGTGTTAATATTTTCTTCATTAGAATCTTCGTATTCTTTTTCAGGTATATGCTGTTCAATAAATCTACATTCATTATGTACTCTTCCACAATCATCGAATGTTCGAATTTCATTTGAATTTTTTAAGTATTTTGTAAAGATTCCTCTACCAAATACTCTAAATACAAGATTTGTTATAGGTGTTCTTTTAGATTTAAATTCCCATTCACATACGAAACGTCTGCGACATGCATCTGAATCAACTCCCAAAAATGTGAAAAATATTGTCGATATTCTGATTAAAATAATTTTAAATTTTATTAAAAAAATTATTAATTGTAAATAAATATTTATCTTACTGCTCTTCAGATTCTAGCTGACGCGATTCACGTGACTGCCGTTTCCATTTTTTATCGGAAGCAAAATGTTCCGTACCTGATATCGATGATGGAGAAGTATCTAGAAATGATGACGAGGGAAAACTTTCTATTCCATGATCATGATGATGATCAAAAGAATAACTTGGTGAAAAGCTAGGTGAGTATGGAATATGATCATGACTGGACCATAACGGCCTGATATTTTTACAAAAAAAAAAAATATACAAATAAACATATTTTGGTAAATAACGTTCTAAACTTTTTGGTTCTAAACAAATAAATTTAATTCGTACAGCAAAAATAGTTCAACAAATTATGTACATACATACATGCTTATGCTACTTTGATTTATTAATTTATTTAACTTACCCATGACTAAATGGAATCACCGGTCCTTCATGAATTATTTCTTTTGGACAAGATTTATTAGCAAAAATATATCTGGCACCCCAAACTATAGCTGTTCCAACAATAAATGCAATTATCACCGCTTTAACTTTTAACCAATATAATATTGCGAGTGCATGGAAGCCAAATCCATACCCTAAAATTAAATCGAATATAAATTTAGAATTTTGTTTTTATAAGTTCATGTATAAAGTTTGATGCTAATTATTAATTTACTGATTTTTAATAATCTAACTTACAAATTATGTAAGGGATAAGATGCTTATATTTATAATAATATAACTTTTTTTTTCTAGCAATACTTGTGCTATCATTGTTCGCTTCAATAAAACAAATAACACAACAAAATATTAAAAGTATTTGAAATATAATTTTCATTATATCCAATTAAAATCAGTTGCTAGTAATCTTACTTAAAACAATTTCTAAATAAAACTATTGCAATTTTCATTTAGTGCATTATTTATATACCATTGAAATACTTGATAGGAAATTGTAAATTATAAAAAAAGTAAAAATGAAATTTTCTAACACTTTTGGCATATGTGATAATTACTAAATAAAAAGTATAAGAAAAGTATTACATGTGTAACATATTTATTTATAACTTTATGTTATTACAAAATTTTTAATGTATGTAGATACTTTTCAAAATTTGATGTGATTGCTAACGATGATATTAAAATTCCCATAACTAATTTTTGAAAATTTTCAAAAAACCATAGAAAATTTCAAATATTGTTAACTTTTTCTGTTAAATAGTATTTATAAACTTTTCTGGAATTAAAATATTCAAAATTTTCCAAAATCATGTTTCATCAATGAAGATAAACGTACCAAACGGACCCAACCAATTCCCAAAAGGTTTTTTTGCTTTTCGTTGCAATTGTTTAATTTCTTCAAATTCGTCTTGCGCATTAATGCAACTCATGTAAAAAATTATAATTAATACACTTAAAATATATTTTCTCATGATTCTTAATTAAAATTAAAATATTGTACGAAATTCTTTTTTAAAAACAAAATTCTAAATTTTTTAATTCTATATAAAAATTTTTATCAGTTAAATTTGAACACTTTCACTTTCTTCCAATTTTAATAACGTAAAAATTTATAAAAAGAAATGTCTAATTCTGTTGTCTGCCTTCTAATTCGATGAGGAATACATTACTAACAGTGTACAATTCTTATTCAATGGTATTTATAAGATTAAAAATATTCACTTAACTTACAAAAAAAAGTGTTAATTAAAATTAAATCGATTTTTTTTTGGTGATCAACGCATTGTGTGCCTTTTTTTTTGGAAATTTGTTACACTTTTATATTTTTATTTAAATATTCATTGTCAATGGACTGTAAATAAAAGAGTTTTTTTTTTTATTTTCTTATTCGTTCAGTTAAAAAAAATTGATTTTTCTAAAGTAAATTTGTAAAATTAAATAAAGTATCGAGGAAAAATTTACAATACAGTAATTACATTATAAAAGCAAAAAATAGAACTGTTATAGAGCTGTTCAAAAAAGTCTCTATTGTAAACGCTGCATCCTGTGTTGTTGCTCTAATTCTTATATGATAAGGTAATTTGCTTATCATATAAGGACTAGACCTCGGTTAGGCAAATTTTTGTATTATAGATTGTCGTGTCTTAGAAGTCAGGTTGCCCTAACAAGAAATTTTAGTTTCAGGCCAATTATTCGTCCATCAATCTATTTACTCTTATATGCTCCGTGCCCCATAATAGAAAGTTTTTTTCTTCAATTATTAACAAAATTTCCATTATTAACATAAACAAGCGTGGATCGTCGAATTAACTGTAATCGCTAACTAGAATTTTTTAAGTACTTTTCCTGTTGTTGGGGAACACAAATGAATTTCCAATTTCAACAGTTTGCCGATCGAGTTTATTTTACGAGAATATATGAATTTCAAGTTTCGTCATCGAATTTTTTCGATATTGGCAACTCCGTCGAGCTTTGTTTATTTGACCGATTACATTTCCAATATTACATGTACATGTATTCCATTTGCATATAGTCGATATAAGGTTTTTAGTCAATTTGAGTTATTTCTTATTAGTTACATTTCTGTTATTTTATTTGTAGATATGAAATATTTTAGTTTTTGAAAGTTAAAGTTTCAGTTATTAAGAATTGGATATATTATTTGTAAAGATCATATTAATTAAAATGGGTCCATGTCAAAAATTAACAAAATTAGTTTTATTACCTGATGAATTAGGTTAAAATCAAGCTCATCTCAATAGCAATATTAAATTAAAAAAGAAGTTTTAGAAGTTAGATTTTTTTCTCAATATTTAGATTAATAAGATCAGAATGTGTACTATTGAAAATTTTTATAAAACACAATAAATTTTTACTTATCTTAAAATTACATATAAATTAAAAATAAAAAATACCCATGAAAGGATGAAATAATCCACCTAAACGAGTTTTTAGACGTCTTCCAACCTCAACAACCATATCACTTATTTCATCACTTCCATTTTCTGTAGAACTTTTTGCTGTAGAAATTTTTGTTATGTTCGTGTTTCCTGTAACCGAAATAATTAAAATGCATAGACTAATTAAACACGTAATTGAAAAATTAAATTTCGCCATTTCGTAACAGAAATTTTTTTATATCCTTTGGCTTTATTTGTATTTCTTTTTATATTTTAATCAAGCACACACTCAAACTAATTTTTTTATTAAGTAAAATTTTGAATTTTTTAATTTAAATTCTTTTATATGGTTCACTGTTAAATTATCCACTATTAAATGATTTATATTTTCTAAATGTTTTTCTTTATATACAACTTTCAAATCAAAAGTTAATAAAGAAAATAACGACACGATAATTAAAATTTAAGAGTTTTTGTTTATTTAATTGATTAAAAGTTAATTTTTCAATTTCAAAATACCAAAAAATTTTACTCTACTATAGCTGCTATTATTATTAAAAACACCATCAAATAAATTTTTCGAGGAAAAAGAAAACTTATAAAATGAATAAAAAAAAATTATAACAACTTTACGACAAAAATTTCACTTTAAATTTTCATCAATTTACGCATGATATCTCGGGTCTAGGTATATATAGGATTTAATTAAACTATTCTTGTGTGACTGACTGTGTTATTACATAATTGATTAATACAATCAATATATGTATTTGGGCTTGTGTTAGGTGAAATATTTTTTATTTGAAATCAAAAGTGATTTAGAAACGATTGAATAAGCAATTACTCATTCTCCTGTTGAATCAAAACAAATCTCAGACATTTTCTTTAAAATACAATAATACATACATTTTATTGTACATTTTATTGTTAATATTACTGATTTGAGAATAATTTTCTTTTTTGTTTAAAAAGAAAGATAATTTCATATACGTATATGTATGTAGGAAAACAGTAAAGCACATTTGTGATCTAAACCAACAATTGATGAAATACTAAGACCATTTGTATCAAGGTTGTCTTTATTATACAGCATTACAGCAATTGTAAGTAAGTGAAAATTATTTGTCTTAATTTAAATTCGTTTAGTTATAAAAGGACTTATATGCTCTTTGGCATTCCATTATTTCTATAATAATTACATTATTTCTGTAACAAAACGAGAAAAAATAGAGTTGACTGTGTCAGACTGAGACAAACTGTGACTTTAAGTTGTTGTATTACCATATTAATTTATGCAAAATTTCAGTTCTGTGTTTTCAATATTTTCTAGGATATGGCCATACTACGATTCAAGTTGTGTGGCAGCTACTAATATATTCGCTTGTGTGAAATTTCAACACTACAGCTTTTATAGTTTCTGAGATATACTCAAATAAATTTTGAACTTAGTCCCCGATCATACTCTAATAGGGTTCTGGTATTTCCTATGGTAAATCATTTGTGTAAATTTGGTGAACTTAGTTCAATTAATTTTTGAGTTATCGTCGAGACGGATGTATGGACGGGCGGATGAACAGACGGACAGACAAAGCTAAATCGACTCAGAATTCGACGCTAATCAAAAACATATGCTTGAGTCTGTATCTCAGAGCATTATTTCTTGGCGTTGATTTCTCTCAGCCACTTCCCTCACAGACTTAGAAATATCATTTCTTGTTACACAAATCTTCTCCCGTTATAAAAAAATTTTCATTCCTCTTCTTCGTAATTTAAAATGTACATGCTTAGGCCAGTAAATGATTACCCTTTTTTTATTAGTCTTGTTATTTACACTTATTTATTATAGTATTGTTTTTTTACGTTCTACAGACAGGTCTACTTAAATATATATATACTTACTTATACAGAAAAACTGGGTAGAGAACTATTGAAAATTTATAAAAATTAATAACTGTCCTATAAATATTAGTTTTTTTATTGCATTATTCTGTCCTCAGTAGGTGTATTTTTATGTAAATTCAAATCCAGGAATAAATCCTAAAATTTATTTAATGAAGTAAAAAAATTAATTAATTTTATTAATTTAATGAAATTTTCATTTATATTTAATTTGTTTTCACATAAGATTTTCAAATTAGATTCTAATAAAATTATAAGAGACTATTACGGAGAATAGTAAGATTAAATATGGAACGCAAATAAAAGAAAATACTCTGTAAAAATAAAAATATCGCATGGGTTATAGTTTTCTACGAGTATTATTTAAATTTAAAAACAAAAATTTCGTGTTGCAAATACAATTAAAAATTTATCATTTCATGAAAATGGAACAAACTGAAAGACTTCTTGAATTGTGGACAAAATTACTTTTCATTACTCCCCGCACGTGGAGCAGATCAAAATTAATACTTTTCTAATTTCTATTATTATTTTTGCTATTTTTTTTTTTCATAACATACACATAAAAAAGAAAGGCACAAAAACAAATTTATGATTGTGAAAAATGCAATTACGTTTTAATTTTCGTTATACCGTTAAATACTTCAACATATTTGAACTTACACTACAACTACGCAATTAAAAGAGCGACAGTTCATATGCATATTGCTATACCAAAATTTTCAAATACAAAACTGCACCTATTTTTTTAGCCCTTTAATACAAACTAATGAAATACCAATTATAAGTAATTGCTGCAAGCCATTAGCTGTGGTTTGTATTGTGTGTACGTGTATTTGGAATTAAATACACTTGAAAATTGCGAAATAAATGACAAAACCTGAAAAACTTTCTTTGCTCTAATAGATTTTTTGTTTAACGTCAAAAAACAGTAAAATTAAAAGGAAGACAAAAATTTTGTAACTACAAAACCACAAATTTAGTTTGATAACGGAAGAACGATTAACAAAGCAGAAGTGAAAATGAAAAACAAAAAAATCAAAGGAGAATCAATGTGCAACAAAAATTTTCGAATTAAATTAAGTTTTGTAACCAAATATTAATTTTAACGTTGTAAACTCGCTTCTTTGAGACTATTGAAAAGGATTAATCTTACAGATTTGGAATAATTGTTAATTGAAGAGGTAAGTTGACAAAGGGATTAACTTACATTTGGATTCTGACACTTTTTTCATTAACAAATTGTAAAACTGTTAATTTTTTTGTTACTTGTCTTGTAGCGACGCGAATAAATAAAATAATAGATGCCGACGACACTGTCAATCTCATTTTCTATTAAGTTTCTAGCTATAAAAGTAACCACAGTTGAAAATATACGAAATTTAATGATGCTCTATCCGAAAAGATCGATTTTCGTCAAAATGTTAGTTAACCCCTTTGTCCACTTACCTCTTCAATTATCTTTCCAATTTAACGTTTTATATGTATTTATTGTGCAAAGTACAAAATTATTTTTTTCTAATTCAAAGGAAATTTTATGAACATCTGGTTTAAGATAAAGCACAAAAAAGAATTTCTAAATTCCTCTTTCATTGTGTTTCATATAAATTTGTGAAGTATTTTTCTGTTAAAAAAAAATTATGAAGTTCGCAGCATGTAAACCTGCATAATTTGATGTGTCATTTTTGTATTTTGTGACGGATTTATGACATTTAAATTTTGACGGCCGGTTCTATATAGTATATACAACATAAAGTAAAGCAAATTATAAATTAGAAAAAGTAAATAAAAGATTTTGAAATAAATATAACATTTATTATAAATTATATACATATTCAAATAGCATTAAGTTTCAAAAATGAGCAAGGGTAATAAACTTTATAAAATTTATTAGTTATATGAATAATATATTGCCCATACTTTTTTAGACAAGGAGAATAATTTACCCAAAGCAAATTCCGACCCCCATTGTCCAGTTACAAGGAAAGGTATTATTATTTGTTTTTAACAGATATAATATACAATAATATTCAAATGCTTTATATTAAATGTGTTAATAATTTTAGGTTATTTGACAAATTTGCTCACTGGTGAACCAATTGAAATCAAAGAAAGTGATGGGGTATATAAATATAAAACATCATACTTATATATTTCTATATAAAATATATTTTTCATGGCTCAAATGCTAACATGTAAATAATTTTTACTCTTTTTATTAGCTTGGAAGATGCAGAATTGTAACTGAGTTTGAGAAAATTAAAAGAATCGGTGAAGGCACTTATGGAGTAGTATGTAAGATTGATTTGGCTTTAAGTTTGAAATTTGTTTTAAACGTAGGTACATATTTTATTTTTAGATTACGCTCGTGATACCAAGACTAATGAATTTGTGGCTTTAAAAAAGGTAAGAATGAATCAAGAAAAAGATGGTATTCCGATCAGCAGTTTGAGAGAAATACAAATATTAATGAGTTGCGATCATATTAATGTAGTAAAATTAAGAGAAGTTGTAGTTGGAAAAAGTCTTGAAAGGTAACAAAAAATTAGAATTTATTGTATTCAAAATTAGAATTATATTGTATTCAAAAAATAATTTTTTAGTATATTTTTATCAATGGAATATTGTGAACAGGATTTGGCATCATTGCTAGATAACATGCCAAATCCATTTTCAGAATCTGAGGTCAAATGTATCGTAATTCAAGTACTAAAAGGGCTTAAATATTTACACTCCAGATTTATTATTCATCGTGATTTGAAAGTTTCAAATCTTTTATTGACTGACAAAGGATCTGTTAAAATTGGTTAGTTAACTAACTTCAAAATAACTAATTTTGCTAATAATGCTTGCAATTAAAATTTTAGCTGATTTTGGACTTGCAAGATTTTTCGGAATACCAACAAAGCCTATGACACCGCAGGTTGTAACCCTTTGGTATCGATCACCGGAACTACTTTTAGGTAGTCTTCATCAGACTACTGCCATCGATATGTGGGCTTTAGGTTGTATATTTGGGGAACTTTTGAGTCACAAGCCACTGTTACCAGGAAACACTGAAGTTGAACAATTGGAAATGATAATTGACCTGTTAGGAACCCCATCAGAAGCTATTTGGCCAGAATATCCTTCACTACCGGCTTTGAAAAGTTTCACTTTAAAAAATCAACCCTATAACAATTTAAAAACTAAATTTCCTTGGTTGTCGGCGGCAGGTTTAAGGCTTTTGAATTTTTTGTTTATGTATGATCCGAAAAAAAGGGCTACCGCAGATGAGTGCTTACAGAGTTCTTACTTTAAAGAAGCTCCTTTGCGTAAGACTACGATATATATTAAATGCAATTGAAAAAAATTTGTTTTTTGTTATAGCTTGTGACCCAAAATTGATGCCGTCGTTTCCACAACATCGAAACATGAAACAGGATAGTCCTCAACAAAATCAAAGTGCAAGTTCAAAAAATGTACCCTCAGGTGTTTCTGATAATTTATCAGATTTACTTGGTAGTTTAATAAAAAAGAGAAGAGTTGATTAGTATAATTTTACTTTTTAATTTTGTGTACCTATTTTATTTACAAAATAAAGATAACTTCAATTTACAAATACTTTCTATCCATTGGAGTTTTCTTTGCTTTCTTATCTCTTGCTCTAGGATACCATCTATGTTTTGTTGTGTATGTTAAATTCATTAACTCCTGTCTAGCTACTTTTGGTTGTTTGTTTTTAAATGCACTCATTGCGGTATTTAATGTATCTTCTTTAATCAATGAACCGGAATCTATAACCTCTTCCGGTGGAATTGGTTTTGTGAACTCATACGGAAAATCTTGATCTGGATGCCATGCTACAAACATTTTTCTGCTTTTTATGGCTGCCATTTGCTCTACAAGCCTTAATCCACCAACGGCATTGTACTTAATTGATAAATTAATTGCATTGGTTGAAAATTTTCTTAATAAAGTTAATTTTGCAGAGGAAAACATTTTAATATATAAAAATATTAAAAATAATTCTTCCTTCTGAATATAAAAATATGTAAGTAAATATATGAGAATGACATTGCTGTCAAAAAAAAAAAAATAAATAAAATAAGAAAAAATATGACATTAAAAGCGGGTCATTAGGGCTGCCCATTTTGAATAATTGCTACAATTATACTTTAAAATGCCAAAAAGTACTTTAATTTTATTTTATTTTACTTTAATTTTATTTAAAAAGTACTTTAATTTTGTGTTTTTAATATTATTTTTTTAATTTTGCATTAGAATACTTTGATGGAGTGGGTATGCAATATGAAAATTTATTCGCCTATAAGAAACATCGAAGACAATTTTTTTCCTATATCAGAACGGAGCATTCCTCAAAAGCATTGGAAAAAGTCTTAAGTTAAAAAAGGCGACCTCAGGCGACGATATGTATAATGTCAATTGCAAACGTGATACAATATATCAGTGGCAAGGCAAAGTTAATAAATTAGAATAAGATGAAAACGCAGTATGTACCAAATATTCTAGTAAAAATGTCTTTTGTGAAACAATTTTAGACTTTCATCTGTTTTTTTTTTTTTTATAATTTTAGTTTTGTTTTTTCATATGTATCTATATTATATTTTAATTCTAGAAAGCTTCATCATTCTTCAAATATTTTTCAATTGAGAAACTATTTATTGTAAATTATGTTACTATACACATTTGTTTAAACACGTAATTTATTTTAACGCGACATAACACAGCGTAACACAAAGCTAAATAACGTAAAAAAATTTAAAACAAATAACGTAACGCAAATTAACGTAACGTAAGATTAATACAATATAATAGATGCTTTTTTTTTGTATTGGGAACCACAGAGACTTTTTATCGTATTTTAAATTATGTAATTATATACAATGTCTCAACGAAATCAAAAACTTTAAATATTCTCTCATTTCACTTTAATATACGTATAATTTATATAAGAAATTCATTTTATTGCCCATAATGAATATCTCCCAAACCATTACGTTACATAATATTGTCTAATATAAGGATCATTGTTGATATCCATGAATCTATAAACTCAAATAGACGAAAATATTTACGCAATTATTGAACTTTATATATGGAAATAAAAATGAAATTTTCCCTATTTTATAAAAGATATTAAAACAATTTATAATATTATTCTTTTTCATTTATAATACCTTTATATAGACATACGAGTAGAATCTGTGGTAGAAAAATCATTAAATAAAACTCATATTTCTATAATATGGGCAAATATTTTAAATATTTAAAATATAAGAACCTACCATATATACAATAAAAATACACACACACATACAATATTTATAATAAGGTACACATTTATGTATATAATAATTGAAGCAATTACTCTTTATTTTTTTTTTAGTTTAGTTTACATTTTTATTTTATTATATTCTTAATAATAATTATACAATTGTAAGTACATTTTAAGGTAAAAATGAGCAGAAATAGTATAAAAGAAAAAATTTCATATACTTATATAATACACATAAAATTATTTATATATATATATACATAAACATATGTACATATTGTATAGAGTAAGTATAGTAGTACCACAAAAAAAAATAATAAAAACAAAGAATTAAAAAAAAAATAAAAACTTAAATATTATGTAAGTGTATAGTTTTTATTTTTAATTACAATTTTATTTTATTTTTTAACTATAAATGCAATACATACATATACATACAAACATATGTTATATATCTTATTTATTTTTTATTAAATGTAGAGTTTTGGTTATTTTTTTGCTTTTTTTGTTTTTTTTTTATTATCATTTATAGGTACAAGTACAATATGGTTGTAGGCATTTAAAATCCTATTTCCTTCCTTATAAAATCATTTTACATTTTAATCTTATATAAATAAAGAATAATTGATATATGTAGAAAACAAAATAAGATAAAAACATGCAATATATATATATACATATACATATTATTAAATATAATATAAAAAATGAATATAATAAAAAAAATTAATTTGTTATTTTATTTTTTTATTTTTTCATTCATTTTGATTTTCTTATGAATTTTTCTATATTAACAATATACTATAATAAAAACGAGAATTTTTTTTTTAAATATGAAAACAAAATCTCTCTATATACTTTTATAGCTGAATATGTATGTATGTACGTATGTAGACTTGATGTTCTTATTTTAATTTTTTAATTTTTGTGTAGTTTCTTTCTGTTTTTTATTCATTCTCCTTCTTTTTTTTTTTTGTATTTGAAACTTTTTTTTTTATATTATAAAATTTCAATTAAAATTTTATGGTTCTTAACTTTAATGTAATTTACTTTTTTGTAAAATCCATATTTCTTGTCATGAATAGAGATTCATCATAGGGATCCTTAACGGGAAAATCTCTTAAACGTATTGGATATGTTAACTGATTACCTCTATCCCATGAATAAAGTTCCTATAAAAAATAGAAATATTAAAAAAAATTAATTAACTAATATAATATTATTTTGTATATATATAGGGTGTTTCAGTAAAGATTACAATATTATATATCATTGTTTTTAGGGCATTAAAAATGTGTAAAATTTTTGTTTGGAACTAGTTGTCAAAGTTTGAGAAGGTGGCCCAAAATTTTGTAACAAGAAAAATTAAAGTTTCTAAAACTTGCGTATAAAATTGTGGGGATGAAAAAAATTGCTGGTTTTCCAAATGCTTGATATTCCGAAAATCCATAAAATACAAGATAAAATAATATGTTGCCTTCCACACCTTTACTATAGCCTTTTCAAAAACTGTTTATTTAAAGCCTTTATTTTTTCCAGAAGGGATTTTGCAAGCAAAAAATCTTGGGCAATTAAAAATTTCGTAAAATTTCATTAAAATCCCTGTATTTTGGAAATCGTTGACTTTTGACAATTAGTTCTAAACAAAAATTTTACCCATTTTCAATTCCCTTAACAACTATATATAATATTGTATTCCTTACTGAATCACCCTGTTTATAGAAAATAATAAGTAAGTATATCAATTTGTAAATATATATTTATATTATTTGTTCTCTATGTTAATAAAACAAGTGCTTATATATTAAACGATATTAAAAAAAACAAATTATTTATTATTTAAAATATTTTTAATAAAAATATAAGTAGAATATTGTCCTATAGAACATAAAATGTATAAGTATGCTAGAGATTTAGGTCGCTAATATATGTATATAATTAACTGAAGACTTGCATATAAAAACACGCGCATAATATAAAATTAATATTTAAAATGCACAATATGGAATAGTTTAAAAATAACATCAAATAAATTGTGAGTCTTACATATATACATACGTATAAAATATGTAATAAATTTGTAGTAAATTGCCAGTTTATTAAAAACTAAGTTATTGTTACATAAGTTAAATGTTTTGTTTTTGAATTTTAAAATTAAAATTTGTATTTTATTTAAAACTTTAGCGATAAGGATTTTGTGATTTTTGAAATAGAATTTTTTAAGTACCATTTTTACCGACCGCATTTTAGTATACAATAAGTGTGGTCATATGATGATACCAAATTTTCATAACGAGTTTTGGTTTGAAAAATCGATTCTCCGTTGTACGGAAAAGCAAATAAACTGTTTTTGTAGAGATGCCGATCTTTCAGTCTGCCGGTCTGTCGGTTAGTGTGTGCACTGATGAACTCAAGTTCGGCTAAACTGATTTTGATAAAGTTTTATACATGAGTTTTTTTCGTCTAAGTTGCAGATTAATCAACTTTTCGATTTTTCTGACCTCGGCAACTGGATATTTTTGCGGGCCGATTTTACATTTTTATGCATATATGAGAAATAAGCGTGTAAAATTTTTGGGAGTATCTGGACTATGAAATTGAACTAGGAGCCGATTTTTTTTATCATATCTACGGAACTTATTGGCGCAGTTGCTTGAACTTCGATATTTGTGTTCTTGTTGTTACTGAAATTAACTGGCGAACGTTTCAACAAATTTCGATAGCACAAAACGAAGCTCTACTAAGAGTCAAATTTACATTTTCCCAGGTACATATGTTAACTAAAAAGCCTATACTAACTTCCTTAAAATTGGAAAGAATTGTTTAAAATTCATTTTGATAATCTTCTAAAATAATACACATTGGTTATGTGCTGGTCACATCAGATTTTTTTCCTTTTGATAATAATTCGATAACATTATAGCGTTTAGATAAAGTCAAGCGTTCAAAAGTTATTTATGATTAATTTTAGAAATTCATTCAACTTTTCCAGGTGGCGAGATTATTCGAATTTCTAGAATTGATAGAATTTAAATTTTCGACCACTTATTTCTTTAGAAAGCATATATGAATAAGTCTTCTTATTAAAAAAAAAAATTATTAACTTAATCGTTTGATCTAGCTATCTGATTCGATCATCGATTAAGTTAATGATTCTTTCAATTCCTTTTCTCCTTCTAAACTTAGGCAATGATTGTTTTGAGTATTTTAAGTCTTATTGAAATGTCTTTGAATAAAAAAGAGCCGAATTTTTCATTTATTTTTCATGGTTTCACCAAAAAAGTATCTTGAATTCGGTGTGACATGGTAATTTAGCAAGTATTATAGGTTTATTAAAACCTGGTCATTATTAACTCCTTTTTTTTTTTTTTACAAAAATCCCAATGTAATGTATTTTAACAAAAGACCCATAGAATGTTTCTCACCAAAAATCGAAAAAGTTTGGTATGTGTTCCTCAATTCAGGAAAGGAAAATAGTTACTAAATGTTACGCTGTAACAAATAGAATTTATTTTCATTGAATTTTTTCATGAAATACCTGGCATGTTCAGAGTTTTCTTCTCCAATTTCATGAATCTATATGATTAAAAAAATTAATTTAGAGTCCTTTTTGAATTTAAAAATATTTCCAAACTTCTTATGCGAAATTTTTAAAGACAACAATTCTTTAATTTAAAAAAACTCTTTAATTTTTGTTTTTTAAAATTCAAAGACATCCGAAATTCATTTTTGTAAATTGAAATACGTTCCATTCCAAAAAAAACTCCTTTTTTTTAGATTTTTTTTTATGCATCAATAAAATTTATTTGAAGATTGCTAATTTTAAGTTAAAATTTTGTTACCATTTTTTTTATTCTTTAGGTGTCCTTATCTTAAGGACTAAATTTTTATGAAACAATTTCGAAAAGACCAGAAAATTTTTGTTATTTTTTCATTTTTTTTTTGTTTCAGTTTTCTTGTTTTATATTGTGAGAGAAAGCTCACTTTGTTTTTGAAGATGAAAATAAAAAAAAAGGATAAAGGCAAATAAACATTATAATAATCAACATTTTCATTTAGATATACACAAGCATCATAAAATTGCAAGAAACAAAACATCAAATCGTTAAAAATCCTTCAATAAAAAATATCCTTTTTTTTTCCATTTCTGGTTTATCTACATATGTGATGGTCATATGACAATTTCTGTTTTTATTTCATTTATGGTATTTTTTATTTTTATATTCGAAACCATTTTTATTTTTTTTTTACTATATTGATAAGAATCAATGAAAATTTTAAGATTATTGATAAAAATATTGTATACGATTATATATGGGATTATGAGCATGCAGTATAGGTATGTAAATTTGTAGAGTTAATATGGGTACCCAGTGTTCCATAATTGCTATTAAAGATTGTAACGTATATCGCCGGTATTATGAAAGAGTCATGAAACTGATTTTTTGACAGTTTTGAGTTATATATACAAAAAAATTCAGAATTTTCTACACTATCTTTATAAAAAAACCACATAACTCTAACGTTAGTATTTTCGGTAAAATAATGTCATAAATTTTACACGTAACTGCAAATTGACATTATTGTGTATATTTTCAAATGCGTTTTTCTCGAAACACAAAAAAAGCAGTTTCGTAACTCTTCCATAATACGGACTATGTGTAAAGGAAAGTCATTTAGATTAGAACGATTATACAAATAATTATTATAGATTCGAAAAGTTGTGGAGTTGAATAATGGCTATTAAGTCACTATATAATACGGCGTTAATACGTCAGTTGCATACAGTGTAACTGTATGCAACTGTGTAACTGTGACTGATATGGGACTAGCACGCTTATGATGCGGTTTTCGGTAGAAGCAATATTATATTAACTCGTATTGCATATAAATGCAGAGCTAAACAATTAAGACTATCCTCAAAGTTGAATAATAGATCGTCACTTTGCATCTGTGCCTTTTTTGGCAATTTAAATCATTAGCTTCCGTAGCAAAAAGTTAAATATATTTTTAATTAATTCTCTTCTAGAGTTAGTATAGAAATATTCTCAATTTCCAACGTAGAGTACTCATATGCACAAATTTTTTTTTCTTTTATTAAACACAAAATTTTTTTGATGCGTTGCACACTTAATTGCTGCGCACTTGAAATGGGTAAAAAATATATTATGATACTCAATCATTTGTAAAATGTTGCTATGTTGAAAATGTTGAGCAAATCGGCACAATGTAGCAAATATGCATATTTACTGCAAAATCGAGCTTAAGTTGTTTTATTTATTCACAAGCACAATTTTAATTTTTAATATTATTCATTGAAACGCAACAGCACGAAAAATTTATTTAAAGATTTACGAAAAAGAAAATTTTGTAAGACGAAATTTCGCATTCTCTAACGATTTAGAAAATCTTATACTGAACACCTAGTGCACAAATACAGTCTAATAGCATCAATCAAATCCATAAACTTTGAATGAGCAACTTGAAAAGAAAATCTTTATATTGAGTTGCCATACAGAGAGTGCGATATGAAAAAAAAATTCGGTCACTTTACAAATTGCAAATATGGTTCAGTTGTTGTCTTTTTTATTATTGTTTAAATTTTTTTTCTACTTTTATATTTTTTTCGTTATCTTCCACTTGTGTGTGAAAATAGTAATTGCGGCCATTTCAACAAAAAAAGGATAATGCTTTTTCTTATTTTGTTTTTGTTTTAAGGGTAAATATTTAAAGCGTATCATATAATTATTAAAACTAGATGACTCTTACAGATGACTCTAACAATAACTATAACAGAAATGAAAAACAAAAAAAAAGGATATTTTTTTTATCTCTACTTTAAGAATTAAGGATTTAAATATTAAATTTTGCGATATTTTCCTTTCTTGTATAGCAATTTTTTTTTTATTCATTTTTTTTGTGTCGAAAAATTTAAAGGTCTTGCGTTATCTAAGATGTTCTTTAAAAAATGTGTTATCATAAGAGAGTCATTAAGTTATCAGGACAATTCCACTAAAAAGAAATCTGAAATATGTCCCTGGAAACAAGGGTATTCTTACTTTTTAAAATTTATGAGATTTCTTGTTTAAAGAAAATGAAAACATTATTTTGCACGCTATCTTTACGTACAGATAAATAGAAGTTTATAAAGAAGTTTGAGTTTTGTATTAAATTGTCATACTGTTTTGTGTCACTATTTCTCCGAAAATTAATTTTAGTTATTTCTCAAAACATTTTAATCTTTAACTTTAATGTTATCCTCTTGTACTCCATTCCCTTAAATATAATTTAAATAGATAAAATATTTATAAATTCAATTGAAAATATTTTTTGCTGTCATTAGTGTTTAAGATTAAGATATTATGGGAATCATTTCAATATTAAAAATATTTTTTATATAAATTAAAGAATTTATAGGTTGGCTAGGTCGTGAGGGTACCGACGGATCTCTCCTACTGTAGAGACCTTAAACTACAATGCCCTTATCGCGGCCTGGCTGTCCGTAAAGATATTAATTACTTGAGGCTATACAGTTAATTTTCAATGTACACACTTCATACACAGATAAATCAAGAATTGAATTTGAAGAAAAAATTTAAGTTTAATACGAAACTATAGTGCGTATGCATAACATATATATATATATACAAAACTATGCGTACTATGCCATTAAAGTTTAAACTTATAATTTAATTTTCAATGTATCACCATTGCAAAAATGCTAATCCTGTTTGTATTTCTGTTTATAATTGAAACAGCTAAAAAATCTTTCGATTACGGTTTAATTATTGATATACACATTGCACACATATTCATATGCATACTGGGTGTCTTGTATCATAATGTAAAGGAAACTCGGTTGTTAAGTTGAAGATTTTCGTAACAGAAGAGAGACACCATTTTGAATGATTGTTCTAAATTTTTCCAAGTTACGGAAGGAAAGAATTTGGTATAAAATATAACATTTGCAGTGGTCTGCTTTTATTCATAACTCCTAAACCACATCAAGCACCATGATGATTTCATTATTAAATTGAAGCTCACTTTACAAGGTTGGCAGCTGTGCTAAAATTGGAGAAAGTTCTAATGTTACGTCATCTTGAAAATTAACGTTTTTTAAAAATGAAAAATTAAAATTTCTAGCTTTTCGAAATTTAAATTCATGTTACTCCGAAATCTGAACAGAATATAACTAATGTATATATTCATGAGAAAGCCCTTATTCTGAGATTTTTAAATCATACTTAATAACGCGTCTGTCTTTTACTGGCATGGAATTATGCTTAAAATTTTAAAAAGTAAAAAAATCATTCGAGAGCCTCTTGTAATTTATTTTAAGCCTCTTGTAAATCCGAACCTGTGGAGCTGTGAGCATCGTCTCTATACAAAAGTTTTGTCTACTTATGAAGGCCTATGCAGTGGTATATAGGAGTGCATCTTGATACGAAACACCCAGTATATACACGTATTTTATGCAAATCTTTCATTGCTTATTCAAAAATCTAAAAACTCCTTTGCATTTTCTGCTCATTTCAAATACAACTTTTAATTTTCCATCAAAGAGCATTGTTTATTTGTTCACATTTGTTATCATTAATTTAAATAATTTTGTTTTGATATTCAACTGAAAAATTAAAGCAATATTTTGGGAATACTATAATAGATACACAAATATAAACTTACCATTTGATTACGATTATATCCAACAGTTGTTGCAAAACGGAATGGTGTTGTAAAGGGTAAATTAACTCCTAAAAGTTTACCCGATATTAAATCAACGCCAATGCTAATACTTGTTTTTGTTTCGGTGACTGAATCAATTGCATATAGAACACTACAAATGATAAACATTTCACCAAATTTATGATGATCCAATGTTATATTCCAGCTATATTGTATTTGTAATGTTTCAGCATTCAACTAAATATTGCAATAATGATGATTAAGTAAAATAACCAATTTTAAATAGCAATTTTGTATATTAGAAGGATTTTACATTTTTTGTTTGTATTTTGCAAATTTCATATAAAATTAATTGATGTACACAAAATATTCATATTGTTCGTTTGTTCATATAGGCAGCAATTCCATCATGATTGAAAATGATTTTTGAAAATATAAAAAAATTAACAAAAAAAAAAAAAGAAAATTAAAATTAATTAAACCAGTTCAATATTGTTTTATAATTTAATTTTAATTTAACATTCATTTAAAATGGAAAATGAGATTTTAATTTAAATAAAATATAATTACAATTGGCATCGTTAATGTTTTATAGTGGGTACACACACACACATACAATATTTGATTTATTTGCATTTTAAATATAAATTAAATATAATTTCCATTAAATTTTAGAGTTGAATTGCTTACATGGAACACTTGCATTCAATAAATTCAACGCAATGTCATATTGTGATATAAAGTTGTACCGCAGTGAATAATTCTGCTTATAAGTCTAAATTTAAATATTTATTTTAAACAAAAAATGTTTAATGTTCGAAAATGTAGATAATTTTGTAGACATTCAAATTTCATTATAGAAAAGGATGCATTTGGGATTGATAATATACTATAAATACTGCAGGAGTCGAAAAACACTTTTAATAAAAATTTAAAAATTTTTGTAGTATAGAATTAAAATTTTTTACATTTCTTATAAAACTATAGAAATAGCCGTTTGAAAATGCTATATCTATGGGGTCATAAGCTCTAAGTCAGACACGTTGTATATAAACGGACTAAGTGAAAAGGGAAATCCTAGATTTCTTTTCGAAGTAACACATGAGTAATGTGGGTACTTCTAATTCGAAATCATGAGTCGATTTACTTCTTCGCCTTGTATTTAATTCATATGGCAATATTTAGGATTGTATAAATCGCCGATTTGCTTCAATAATCTTAATATTAAATATTATAGGTGTGGATTTCATTTTAAATGTTTAAAAAACAAGTTACAAGTCAGTTTTTTTTTTACATAAGTCTATTTTAAATCACAATAAATTCTAATCATGCTTAATCTTAATATTAACAGATTATGTTATATTGCGTTAATCTCAATCGCCATCATAATACGATTACTTCACTTAAAATAAAAAGAGGAGTATGCACATATGTACGATAAAATAATTTTTTAATAGATCAAACATATTGGTATTTCAAAATAAAATTACTCCTTAATTAAAATGTAATACATGATTATTATAACTAAATGCCCCTGAATTTATGCAATTTTTTCATGTTGTGCTTTGTAAAATTTGTTGCAATCTGTTGAAATCTATTGAAGAATTTATTAAAATTTGCATAGCTATAAGCAAAACAAATTCTTAAAACAGAAAATTTTAAATTCTTAAAATTATTTAAGAATTAATATTCAAATTAAATTAGAAAAATATTGATGGAAGCCCGTAACGAACTCTCTAGTTTTAATAATAATTAAAATCAGTTCCAAAAACTGTGTTTTTAGTATAGAGTCATTAATATTTTAGAAATTGAAATAAACACTTCAGAAAATACCTACATAATTGTTATTTCTAAATAATTGAAATTTTTAATTCTAATATAATTCTAATACAATATAATTTTATATCTTAAAAGGATATTCTGGAATCCAATAAAATATTTAGAATATTCAATTTATATATTAGTAATAATTGTTGATTGTTCACATATACAATTTATTAAGTTTTCATTATCTCGGAATTTAAATTGCATATTTACCATTTAACATATACAAATACACATAAATACATGTTTGTACAGTCAATATAAACGTAAATAACTTTGTTATAATTCTGTATTTGTATATATATTCTGAAACAATTATCTCTTTCAATATTATAAAAATTATTATGTAGTTTTATTTAAAAAAATAATAATAATAATTCTGTATGATGAAAGAAATATTTGTACATAATTAAAATGCATTCTTAATTCAAGTGAAAATTTCATATAAAAATTTTTTCAAAAGAATTTTCCAAAGGATTTCGAGATTTATAAATCCTTCCGTATCCGTTCCATATTTAAGTCAAAGGAATTATGATCGTCTATATTATATAAAATGTAATTATCGTATTAAATTTAAGTTTCTTTGTAAAAAATAATCTACATACATACTTTAAGGACAATAGAATTTTATTTTATTAAAAAGTAAATTATGAACGGATATCTGACTATTATAGTTGCCAATTATTACAAATAATTAAATTTATGATAATAATCATAAATGTTATTGGTCAAATTAACTTGATATACTCTTCCTAATTTGTTGTTAATTTTCAATAATTTTCAATAGTCGATGATAATCTATACGGTAATAATTTATTAAAGGACATAAGACAAACGTATATAAGAAAGCTTATCTATAAAATCCACATAGAGTATACAGTATGCAAATATAATAATTGAATTCTTGTAGGTATTGTGTGTATATTTACAGATTGTATATAATATCTATATAGTTTCCAATTGAAACTTACATAATATTATGTAAATAGAATTATGTTTTAAATTTAAGTTAATTTTAATTTTATTAGAAATTTTATTTACTATAAGGATTATAATTGTTTTCTTTTAAAATATAAGTAAATATTTGCGATAATTGATTTTAATCTGTTTATAGGTCTAGCATATTTGCATTGGATATTGTCAATAAATATTGATTATGATATTAAATTATTTTTACGATTAAATTTCATTACGATAAAGAGATAATAATATTATGTTTATTATGAATTAATAATAAATTATTCATATACCTGTGTAGAAAAATAAGATAATTAAATAATAAGGGGGCAACTAAATAAATGCGACTTTTGAATTAATTGGATGAATATGGAAGGGTTACCTTAAAGGACAACAAAGAGTGACTTTCATATTATAAAATCTGCGTTAATTTTGGCGCAATATCGCTCTCAATATTGATTAAGAAAACAATTTTGTCGAACTATTCCATCTCATATGTTTTACAAAACCGTATTCAATAAGTAACAAAAAGAGCCCTTCGAAAAAAAAATCGCAATACTTTTCGTAAACTTTTAGAAATCATAATGTAATATTGCGAAATTTTTATAGTCTAACTCATTAGTTTTACATTTTCCAGGGATAAACTTCTCGATTTTTCTATTTTCTGATAAAATTTTCCCAATTTAAATTTCAAGTTCGTTCCATTATGCCACAATCTTCTGCTTAGTTCTCACACTGCAGCCTTTAAGTAAAAATTATAAAGTTTGGAGGTTGTTTTGAGCCAACTTGAAAACCATTTGTCTTACAATATGAAAACTAATTATGTTTTAATTTGAAATTATTTTTTTGTTGTAGAATTGCATAATATGTATATTATAAATGCTGACCTTGAAACACTTAAAAGGCTAAATCATGAGCCGGTAAACTCTTTGATACCCGTACGAATAAATGACTTTAAATGTCGAAGATTATTGACATACGGTTTCATACAACCTCTGCTATTTTTTAAATCTAACCTAATAGAGTTTATATACAAAGTTTACATAGAATCTAAAAGAATCAACAAATACGTTTGTTCAAAATTTCAGCTTTGTAGTTTAAATAGTTTCTGAGCTAATAATATATATTGCTTGGGAAAATTTTCAAAACTATACTCTGAATAATCTCTTTTCAAGTTGTATGGCAGTTACCAGAAGGAGTCAAGAAAGACTTCAGTCTCAGACAAATATTTTTTAGTATTACCAACGGTAAGGATAATTCATTTTACCATTCGAGCATACGTTCGTACCAGTATAATAAAATGAAATACAAAATGTTCGATTTCGATTGAATTTTAAAAAACTTATTTTTGAATTTCTCCTTAGTAAATTTCTGTAATTTTATAATTGCGAAATGATTGTAAATATTGAGAGTGTAAAGCTTTAAAATCCTATGATTTATGAATTTTAATGGAAGTTAAGTTTTGTGACATGTTTGTCGTGTAATTTTTCAGTTAAATAATTGATAATTTCATAAAATATCTAAATGGCCTAAGTCATTGGTATATTGATTACCCAGTAATATGAATTATTAAGCAAATCTTTATGGATAAATTTTAGGTACTATCCTTACTAAGCTCAATTTATACCAAAATACATAATACAAAAGTACAACAACTAAATATTTATAAAAAGTCCATTATTTCTTATTTTGTCTTTAAAATAAAATTTTCTTTAACATGCACTTTTAACCAGACTATAAATAATTGAATCTTTACACTCTAGAAAATCTTTTGACCCATATGTACAAGTCTTTTATTTTTTTAAAAATCTTTTAACTTGAATTTATTTGCTTTTTTCTTTAATTTAGTAATGAAGAAAACTTCTGTAAGTGAATTTTGTTTTTTATTTATTGTATGTATAAATGTATGTATTTAAAATAATGTTTGAATGAAATTTATAAACACTTAAATAACACTTAAGTTATATTTCAAGATTTAGTTATGATTTTAAAAAATCGTTTATGAGAAGAACGTTTTGCCAGCATACCAGCAATTGCTATGTTACTCTAAATAGTTATTATACGCCTGAAAATTTTAATATCAAAAAATATACCAGAGTCCCATTCAACTTCGTACGGCTCATGTAAATTTAAAACACGTACTAATAAATGTATTTAATTTTCAACATAATTACTAAAAAAATTTTTCAATTTATTTATAGAAACAGAAAAATAATAACTCCACTTTATAATTACTCTAGTAGATAATAATTCTAGATATTGAAATTAGTGTACGTGGCAAATTCAAATCATAAAATTCGTGTGATGCACTTAAAATTAAGGTGCTATCGCCTTTCGACTTAATTACACATTGCATTCCTATTTGCATTGAATTATAGAGATCTTTGGAGTACTCAAGAATTATTTCACTCCACGTTTCTGGCAGCTTTAATATTAAGGCAGCATTTATTGGAAGA